GTCCACATTTCCAAGTTTGTCGACAGCGATTCATGCTCTGTTCGAGCTCAATTCGAGCTCGATTTGTTTTTTGCGCCTTTTTTCGATTTACGCGCCCAATGCCGTCGACCTGTAGCCACTGTATTGAATTATTTCAACAAAATTTTACGACTTTTTTTCTCATTTTCACAAAATTCTTTTTTGGTAAATCAGTTTTGTCAACTTAAAAAAAACCTTCTCACGGTTACCGTATGAAAACAACCTATGGCTTGTTGTATCCAAGACCATACCAAGGAAACTCTTGCCGTATTTTTCTTTTTAAGGAACCACATTTACCCCAGAGTACTTGCCTTAGTGCATTTTGCTTTCTGCCCAACTGTCTACAGGTTAGGATAAACGAGCGAGCAGACCACTAACTGCTATGTATCACAGCCTGAAAGACAACTTAACAATCACGATGTCTATTTATAGTGGCCTTTCTGAAGGATTACCTTAAGTATCTCTGGGCACACAGGGCATGAGCTTCGAAGTCCACCCTAAGCAAATGTTGCCAACAGAGGCTGGGGGCTTCAATTCTATTCTCTTCGACTTCTCCTCCGTGGTTTGGATTGGCCCACACAAATAATTTTCGATAGGCATTTCATTCAGTATATTTGGATCAAATGACGGAAACCCTTAAAAACTCCCTTGTAACGGTACAGGTGTGCATAAAAGCTATTTAAACTGCATAATGTTTCACAGGTCATATTAATATGTAAAATGCATCAGAAATATACCGAAATATAAGTGCTAAAACTGTGAGGCCTTTGCGAAATAACAGCCTAAACCACGTTTACTTCAATTATACTATTACATTTTCACTTGAGTCTCTAGTGTTCTGTAAAGGAACGATTTATTGAAAGCAAGGGAGTATTATGCTGGTAGCCACCTCAGTCATACAGGAGACAAGATTTTGAAAGTTCGAGCTCACCGTTAAGAGGTGATTATCAAGGTATATTTTTGAACACATTCATTTAGTATTGACTTATTCTTACTGAATTTCTGATAAAGTAATCTCTGTTTTTTTGTCTTTCAAGAAATATCGGGTCTGTTGTACCTACCCGGAGTGGATGTGTGGCTCAAAAATGGCTTATGGTTCCGGTGCAACATGGAGCGAGGCTGCAGAGACCGCCGGCAAATCAAACGGAGTTAACTGGTTCTGTAGGCTTTTCGCCACCTGTGAGGGTGTTGAGAGCATCATGGGTTAGCTCGCGCTGAATGCTTTCCTCCTGCAAGCCTGCACTGTTCAGAAAAAAGTATCCAAATTTAAAACTTAATGTCTGTCAACTTTACACTCGAATTCTACTCTCCTTTTTTATGTTGCAAAGACTTTCGAATAAAGTTATCCAACATTATCGATTTTGACGATATATTCATCTTTCGTTCTCTTCGGGCCGCCCTCTAGTGCGGCAGTACGAATCCGCATAGATTTGTTTGGCCGCTTCCTGGATAGCAGTCATTACTATTAATAGCTACTATGGCAACAATCGAAATCTTTTTAAAATACACTCGTTCGCAAATATTGGGTGCTTGACCATACAGCAGGTAGCGGTTCGGGTACACAAGTTTCGCCGATTTGATGCTGATATCTGACGCAGCTGCGAGAGTTTTGGATCACCAGTGGGTTCCTGAGTGTTCTCGGGATGCTTTCTGATATATAAACTCCGGTTTCCGCTCTAACTTATTTAACTTTCGAGGAAATAAATCCGCAACCTTAAAATGAAGTCTTCGGGACGAAGCTTTGAAATTTCGCTCCGAAATCCCAAGGGAATTGTGGCAAACAAGCATATTCTCGATGGTCAAAAATATGCAAGGCCCAGGTAATTGAATAGAAGGCGGACGAACGTTCTCTGGGACCAGTATTTTATTTGCCCGACGTTT